TTTTTTTTACTGAGAGCGCATTTTTAGGGGACAAATATCAACAATCTCTTAAATTTTCTTTAACTACAATTCCAATTAAGGATTTTGATCTCCCTGGTTCTTCCTCTACGTCCCTTTTCGTGGATTTACTGAATCAAATTATATCGGAGTTACGGTGCAGGATTAGATGCCCCTTTATCTTCCACTTAAGTAAATATAGTGGTCTGTTTTGCTCATCCACAAATGCTGATTTCAACAATTCGAAATTTTCAGAGGGAGCTTGTCGACTTCGCCCACAAAACTTGATACAACAAATTCACTGTTAAATATTAAGATCCCTAGCAACGTTAGATCCCTGACAACGAGAGAGGACTTTTGGTCATCAAGGTACAGCCGGCCGAGGAAGGCCAACAGCCTGAAATGTGAAAGTCGTTTGTTTTTCTTGATTTATCGAAAGGGATATTTGGCCCATATTCTGCATAATTAAAAATAGCCGATTGGATGATGATACTGATGGCGTAAATCATCAGCAACTTTTAGTTTCACGATCTGGTGATGCTATTTCCTCAATGTAACCAGCTTATCCAACTGCACTTTCACTTTTGTACTATTTTACATTAAGAAGATAGTACTTAATGCGTTCTTTTTGAAAACGTTCTGCACGTGGAGACGCATCATACCGCCGTGCTTGCTGAACATTTATCTTTTTCACTATTAAAATTTGTATGATGTGTGCGTAATTTATTTTCGACCATTCTAAATATTTTTGAAACACCTTGTGTTATGTGACTGAAATTATGTTTGCAAATATTTAGCGAAGTAACTTAATATGTAATAGAAAAATGCGCAAAGTACCAAGTCTGACTGAAGATACAAATTAACAGAGTCAATAGAAAACCAAAGAAAAAGAGAAACTTGAAAAAAGAATAAAATGTCTCTTTCGGGACGAGAATTTATTCGAAAGATTTAAGATCGAGAAAGTGGTCGCTTTAAGGAATCGGCGTTTGAAGCCCAGTGGCCGAGATGTTGTGTGGACACTGTTGTAGGTAATCCCAATTCCCTGGTTATAAAATATTGTGATAGTTTATAGATACGAGAGCTCTGTAACATCACCTTACATGTAGGTGAGGCGGAAACATTAAGCGTTATTTTTAAAACATTAACTATACGACAAAAATAGCCTTTGTCTTAATACTAAAACTCTGTTTTAAATATTTGTATCCGAATGAGCCGTGTTTTTCCTGAGTGAATGTTTTTCTATTGTTTTCAGAAATATTTGTTAAATAGGTGGCTATCTACTTATATAATTGCCTTATTCTGTCTGTTTGTCTGTTTGTCTGAAGCTCACGGATGGGATTTTTCATAACCATCGGTGGTTCAGTGGTAGAATGCTCGGCCTGCCACGCGGGCGGCCCGGGTTCGATTCCCGGCCGATGCATTTTTTTTTTACAATTTTTAAAACTCATTTATATATTATACAAGAATGACATCCACGGCGCCAATTTATAATTGTAACGAATAGTATTTGAACAAAAGCATTTAATCGGGTAAAACCCGGGCGTTGCCCGGGTCATTCGTATATAATAATTATATAAACGAATGCAAGACAAAATCACCGCGAATGTTTCTTTTTTTTAAGGCAATTTCTTTTTAAGGCAATTATCGTTATTTATCGTTAATTTTTGTTTCGATTTTATTGAAAAAAAAAAAAACGATATGGTGCCTTTAAAAAATGATCTTTATTACTATGCAGTTTTCTATTTAGTCAATATACCTAAGTTCATGTTGCAAATGTAATTATCTCTATCGATTTAGTAGGTGAAATGCAAAAAAAAAAATAAAAATCGACATGATATAATCTTTATGAAAATTCACATTTTTATTTTTATATTTTAAAGACACACACAGTTTGGGGCGGACGTTTCACAAGAGAGACATCCACGGCGCCAATTTATAATTGTAACGAATAGTATTTTAATTAAAACGTTTTAAAAACACACAGTTTGGAACGCGACATTTCACAAGAGTGACATCCATGGCGCCAATTTATAATTGTAACGAATAGTATTTGAATTAAAAACGTTTTTAAAATATATATGCACTCGGGTAAAACCCGGGCGTTGCCCGGGCCATTCGTCTAGTATCATTAATATTAGAGAGAGACAATTTACAATTAAAAAGGTTATTGACTTCTAGTCAACGGTCAACGAAAAACAAAAAAAAAATTAAACTAAATATATATTAAATAAAAAACTACATCTGACGAATCCCTCCCTGAAGGGACGACTGGAATTATCAGCTGTCCGCTTTGTCGAGGAATTCCCTCCGAGCAGACCAGACGGGATACAAAACAACGTCTTCTATATATTTCCTCCCTATAATAATACTTATATAGGGGTTATAGGGGGAAGTCTGCTTTCAATTTCTCGAATAATTCCTCTTGTATGAGGAGGCTGTTTCTCTTGGGGCTTGAAGGTTGGATTGTTGGTGAAGCCTTGACCAGGGTCTATTTGGAAGAGATCTTTGTTGGTGCAGTAGAGGGTAGAGATGACAACGGGCTGGTGCTCGGCGCCGAAGCAGAAGGCTTGATGGCTAGATGGTGTCCACAAGGATCTGCTGGATGGTGTCAGACACTCCCCTGCAGCCGATGTAGGCGCTGCGGATTGGTGAAGGGGGCTGGGAGGCGTCGTCCACTCCGGGTGTCCTGATGGGCTTCCATGGGTTCTCAAGGGGCAGGAGGCACGCCGGTAGCTGGCATCTGCTACACTCTACGCCGTAGGTGATGTAGGCGAGTGAATATTATTCTTTGGAGATGATCGCCAGTTTGGTAGGGAGCTGGTAGAATTTCAGTCCTTCATTCAGAAGGTCGAAGTTCTCCCTGTTGCCGGTGGTCCAGGTGTAGCCGCCGCTGGACACAATTTCGTCTCACAAGAAGGCAATCCGGCTGGAGGGCCGCGGCGACATCTTTGTCCTAATAGCAATTGGGAGATTACCAACTATTATCTTTCCGCCCATTTCCTATATGGAAAACTTTCAGGAGAGTGGTTCCGTTAGTGGGGCCCTCCTCAAAGTTGGCCATCCCGACCAGCACCTGGCCGGACATCTTTATCAGCTGGTACACCGAATACTTTCCAACCTTCTGCTCCAGAGCCTTTATGTACTCTACTGAAGATATCCCAGAGCGCCACTCCACAATGCAGAACTAGTCAAAAATGGTTGAACTGATCTGGACTTTATCGGGGCCTGCTGCTGTTTGCTGTATTTCATCAATGTTACCTTGAGGTGGCCTGGCTACTCTGTCCTGGGTGGTTTGGTGAGATGTGCCAGGAGGAGACCGGCGAGCCTTTCAGTAGAAAGCGAGAGCTTCCTCTTTTTGCGTTCTATCATATTGACTTTTAGAGGCACCTTCTTTCATTATATCAGCCCAGTCACGGCTTTTTGGGCAAGAATTTGCATACCCCCCCCCCCCTTTTTTTTTGACGAAGGCGAATTTGCATGTTTGTTATTTTTATCTGAATTCGAAATTTTCCATGTCAGAAAATTCTTCCATTGTTCTTTAAGCAATGTTTGCGTTTTTATTGGTGAAAGTCAAGCCACCATGCTCCACATTCATTAGCCATTCGCCAATAAGGACAACTTCCTACCCGAAAGGCGGAGCTCGCCAAGTTGTAGCAATAGAGAGATGATAGAAAACCATTAATATATCTTCAGTATCGTCATATTTTATCTCTCCCTAATATATTAATTATTTTGTTAATATACTAATTTGTTTAGCCTTTGAGTTGCCTATAAATGTGAAGTTACAGTGGAGAAGAGTAACGCAATAATCGATTTTAAATTCCATTTTCTATATATATATATTAAAAATAAAGAAGGCGTCTCCTGACCACGAGCACATGTGCTTTTTAGATGGCAGAGCGCCATCTAGTGGAGCAAAAATAAACTAAATGGCTCTCTGCCATCTAAAAAGCACATGTGCTCGTGGTCAGGAGATGCCTTCTTTATTTTTAATATCAACACCTGACCCACTTATCTTTTATTTTTTTTTTCTATTGTTTTTCATATATATGGCGCTCTGCCTTCTGTAAAGCACATGTGCTCGTGGTCAGGAGATGCCTTCTTTATTTTTAATATCAACACCTGACCCACTTATCTTTTATTTTTTTTCTATTGTTTTTCATATATATGGCGCTCTGCCTTCTGTAAAGCACATGTGCTCGTGGTCAGGAGATGCCTTCTTTATTTTTAATATATATATATATGGAAATTCGAATGACCTTACTTCAAGGGATCATTTCTATATTTGAAAATTCGAAACTATTATAGACGCGTATGATTATTTTTAAAATTAAACAATTTCTACTGCCCTTACTGCAATGGAAAAATTAATGGGAGGGCAGTAGAAATTGTTTAATTTTAAAAAGAATCATACGCGTCTATAATAGTTTCGAATTTTCATAACAGATGGCGCGCTAATGCATCATAATATATATATATATATACTAGCGGATGTGTACCCGGCTTCGCCCGGGTTTTATCCGAGTGAAAGTTTGCCTAACGAATATTATATATTATGAAGTATAATAAACAATGTTAAAGATTAGTTTTAATTATTAATCAAGATTGTGTGTGAATATGTGAGAAAGATGTAATATCGTTGTTGTTTTCTTGGCCGACTGTTTTACATATGGTGTTATCTTAAATTTGCTTGTTTTGAATATTTTTTTTAGATTGAGTTGAATGAATTGCTGAATTTTTTTTTTTGTATTTATATATAAATAAAATTAACTCTGTTGAATTTTTTTGTATTTTATCGATAACAGCAAAGTTATGTATTTTAAAGTTAGGAAAAATATTTTGATGTTAAGCAAAACCTGCTCCATCTCGTTTTACATAAATGTTGAAAATTTGGTCGAAATTGATGCATTGTAACGAAAGTTTTTAGCGAACGCCACTTATGAAATTTGCATTTTATTAATATAGATATAATATAAATGAGTTTTAAAAATTGTTAAAAAAAATGCATCGGCCTGGGAATCGAACCCTGGCCGCCCGCGTGGCAGGCGAGCATTCTACCACTGAACCACCGATGCTTAAAAAAAATCAAATTCATTTATCGTCGCGACCAGTGCTGCGCCCTAGCGGTAAAAGACTGGAACTAACGCTTTTTGGTTTTTTATTAAAAAAAAAAAAGCACATTAACTTTTTTAGTTTTTTGAATAGCCTATATGTAAACGAAATCTTCAGCTACCTACATGCGAAATTCCATAATGATTGAGTCAGTAGATTTTGCGTGATGCGATAACAAACATCGATTTCGCATTTCATTTTTATATATATATGGAGTATATGATTGGATCGGCTTCGTCCAGGATTTATCAAATTTTTAGCTAACCTATACATTATTATAATTATCTAAAAGCCTCCACACTATCCCTCTTATTGTGATCATTGCCATTTTAATCCTGTTATCGCTTATATTGTAATTTTCGATAAGGCAACTTAGCAGTTTTAACAAATTTTAAAGTAGAAATACAGCAGGTGACCTAGAACCTGCAGCCACCATGTATCACGCCAACACTATTCGCCAATCTGAAAATTTTCAGGAATAAACGAACTTTCAGTTTTATAGTGAAGTTACTGAAAGAAATTCCACACCGACTCTATACGGCATTGAACTATTTTAATACAACTAAAAACCAAATGTAAGTCATTTATTCCAAATTAGAAGATTTCCCCCCATACAGGTCTTATGATCAGTTGGAAATAAGAATAATCCAGAGAAGTTTCTAGTTAATTTAATGGCGTTGCTCAAGATTTCGGCCCTTCTATTCCAACCTAGGCTTCTGTTAGGCGGTTCAGTCCGCGGGAGCAGGCCTGATAACTCAAGCGCCATGTTGAACACATCCTTTATTTCAAACTGATATCATAAAACTTATGTAAATTTTATATATAAAATGTTTTCATTACATATTCCACTAACGAATTAATTGTCTTTATCTCAAAAGAGATAACGCGCTCGAGAGAAAGAACCAAAATTACAAAGGAAGATGTAATTGCCGACCAAACGAGCTAATCTGTCAGGTTCTGCAGACGACGGTGATCCATCATGGCGCCTGCCGGTAATCACTTGCCGTCGTTTATTGACTTAAAAGAGTTGCCAGACTTTAATTGAATTAATAATTACTTTCTGATAAATACATGTATAAACTTTTGACTTGAAAATTTAAATGGTGCAATTAATATTGAAATGGTTTGATTTGAAGTTGACATGCTCTATTTATTTTGTTTATTTTCTTCTAAATTATACATATCATAGAATTTATAAAAATATTTGGAGTAAATTTCGCGCATTATATATATCAACGATATAATAATTATAAACTCGCGTTTTAAAAAACAAACAAACAAGAAAAAAAATAGGAGAGGTTTTAAATACATTAATTTCATATTTTCTCCCTTACACAACCGCAACAGAGTAGAATTAGCCCAAACGCGCGATTTCGAAGTAAGAGAACCGCGCGAACTTTGTCAGTTTAGTGGGACAGAAGAACCACCGTGTTTGACCATTTCCCGCCCATTTTGTTTAACGAATTTATCTTCCTCAAAAATATTTTCTCTATTTGTAAAAATATCTCTAGCCAACCCTTACTACCGCTACACCGGGTCTCTCCTAGGGGGGTGGTTTCTCTCTGGAGGTCGGGTCAGTTGTGGCACTTAAATAGCAATAAAGAGTTGAATTGAGCGCCAATTTTAAAAGAAGTTGACATCTTAAATATTCAGTTTATTTTAAGTTTTTAAAATAAGGTAATGGCCATAATATATATTTTACTAATTTATTTTTACAAAAAAACTTGTTCATATAATATATCTATTTATATAAAATAAAGGGATTTAAAAGCGCGAATGTTTCCTTTATACATAAAACGAACTTCTACTGTCCTTACTGCGATGAAAAAATATATTGGAGGGCTTGGCTCATCAGTGGATGAACCCTCCCAGCGGTTTCGCCAATTTAATCCACCAGACCGCTTCTCAGAGCTCTAATACTGTATTGGATCATTCTGCTTTTATATGCTACACTGAAGGATAGAATCTTAGAAATGGTTTTCAAGTAAACTATGGACATAAACTTATAGGACAGTAGAATTACATTCAAATATTTGCTTCGAGCAATGCTCTTCAGCAAACTATAAAGACAAGGCCAGTTAGGAATAAATTAACACAAAGCAATAACGCGCCATCTGATGAGCCAAGCCCTCCCAATATATTTTTTCATCGCAGTAAGGACAGTAGAAGTTCGTTTTATGTATAAAGGAAACATTCGCGCTTTAAATCCCTTTATTTTATATATATAGATGGCGCGTTATTGCTTTGTGTTAATTTATTCCTAACTGGCCTTGTCTTTATAGTTTGCTGAAGAGCATTGCTCGAAGCAAATATTTGAATGTAATTCTACTGTCCTATAAGTTTATGTCCATAGTTTACTTGAAAACCATTTCTAAGATTCTATCCTTCAGTGTAGCATATAAAAGCAGAATGATCCAATACAGTATTAGAGCTCTGAGAAGCGGTCTGGTGGATTAAATTGGCGAAACCGCTGGGAGGGTTCACCACTGATGAGCCAAGCCCTCCCAATATATTTTTTTCATCGCAGTAAGGACAGTAGAAGTTCGTTTTATGTATAAAGGAAACATTCGCGCTTTTAAATCCCTTTATTTTATATATATAGATGGCGCGTTATTGCTTTGTGTTAATTTATTCCTAACTGGCCTTGTCTTTATAGTTTGCTGAAGAGCATTGCTCGAAGCAAATATTTGAATGTAATTCTACTGTCCTAAAGGTTTATGTCCATAGTTTACTTGAAAACCATTTCTAAGATTCTATCCTTCAGTGTAGCATATAAAAGCAGAATGATCCAATACAGTATTAGAGCTCTGAGAAGCGGTCTGGTGGATTAAATTGGCGAAACCGCTGGGAGGGTTCACCACTGATGAGCCAAGCCTCCCAATATATTTTTTCATCGCAGTAAGGACAGTAGAAGTTCGTTTTATGTATAAAGGAAACATTCGCGCTTTTAAATCCCTTTTATTTATATATATAGATGGCGCGTTATTGCTTTGTGTTAATTTATTCCTAACTGGCCTTGTCTTTATAGTTTGCTGAAGAGCATTGCTCGAAGCAAATATTTGAATGTAATTCTACTGTCCTATAAGTTTATGTCCATAGTTTACTTGAAAAACCATTTCTAAGATTCTATCCTTCAGTGTAGCATATAAAAGCAGAATGATCCAATACAGTATTAGAGCTCTGAGAAGCGGTCTGGTGGATTAAATTGGCGAAACCGCTGGGAGGGTTCACCACTGATGAGCCAAGCCCTCCCAATATATTTTTTTCATCGCAGTAAGGACAGTAGAAATTCGTTTTATGTATAAAGGAAACATTCGCGCTTTTAAATCCCTTTATTTTATATATATAGATGGCGCGTTATTGCTTTGTGTTAATATCTATTTATTATGAGAATTTGAAAAATATTTTATTATTATTTATTTTATATATTTTAGACGGTATGATTCTTTTAAAAAAAGAATTTTTATTTGCAGTAAGGACAGTGGAGATATAAAATTGTTGAATTTGTAAAAGAATCAAACGCGTTTCTAAAATAGTTTCAAATTCTCATAATAGATGGCGCACATCATATTCTATCTATTATTATTAGACAGACGAACCCACGCTAATTTTCCATATTGAAATTTTGAAGACCGTCGTGATATATATATATAAAAATGAATGTATGTGTGTGTGTGTGTGTCTGTTTGTCCTTTATGCCTGACCAAACCACTCATTGGAACGCCATGAAACTTTGGGAAGTTATTTAGTATAGTACTGGGAAGGTTTCTAGCGAATAAAATTTTTGAAATAACTTTTCGCTTTAAAATAATCAAGATAAATATTCTAATTTATCTGTTATAATTCAACAATCTGCTCTAAATATTATCATGATGATACGATGATTTTGTAATGTAGAAAATTAGGAAAGACAAAATTCAGGATGACACGGCAATTTATTTGAGACAAGAATAATGATACAATTCCAAAGCAAGATACTATTCCTTTAACTTCCAATTACCGAGGGAACCAATTAATATTGATTTTATTCAACTTATCGAGTATTTTTCAAGGGACCGGGAAAAAATGTTCACTTTATCGAGAGATTCGTTAGACAAACCTTTACTCGGGTAAAACCCGGGCGAAGCCGGGTACGTCCGCTAGTATATAATATTTTTATTTCATTTTAATAATGTTAAGAATTAATATAATTTAATTTTAACAGATTTTTCTTTTAAGGAATTTATTTCTATGGTTGCTTTAAAAAAAGTAAAAAAAAAAAAAAAAAGAGGTTGCCCGCATATCCTGTATGACCCATCTCAAGAAAACGTCGTGCAGGTCCCGTTCCAAGGCTTGCAAAAAAGAAGTGTCCATGGAATGTGTCCAGCAACACAAAGGGCGTCAATTTAGAGAAGAACCAGGAACCACGCGCGGCCAAAAGACAAAAGTATTTCGTAAGCGAAAGAAAAAACGGTAAAAAAGAAGAAGAAAGCCAGTGAAATTAGGAAATCCACTTTCTCGGAGGGGGGCGGTGGTCGTCCAATGGCGAGCGGCCTTGGCACGAGAGCAGAGTAAATAACATCGGCTGCAGCATTCGGCGCCGAGACATGGCTTCTTCAGGTAGGCTCCCGCTCCTGGTCAAAACTTTTATTTTCATTATCGCAGAATATTGATGTTTGTATTTTCCATTATTTGGATTTCCCCCTGCTTATAAATATATCTCTTTCTCTCGCTCTCTATTTCTTTTTGCACGAATGTGTTTGGTTACTTTTTAAATATTATGATATTTATTTATTTCATTAATTAATGTTAAAGTACTTTCAACTTTCTATTTGTATTTATATTTATTATTGCATTTGATTTTTCTCTGTTCAAAGTCTTTTTATATTTGGTATCGCAGGATATTGCTCTTCTTCCCTTATTATATTTCTTTTTGACATTTGCATTTATTATTTTCTATTAGAATAATGTAATTTCCAAAAAA